ACTTTATTGTTCAGAGAAGCAAGTGTTTAGTTGACGTAATGTAATTGCTCGGTTGTTTATTTTTTTCCCGGGAGCCCTTAGCTAATGACCTGACACCCTCTATTTCCCTCTCTTTCCCTCTCTTTCACCTCTCTTTTCCCCTCTCTTTCCCTCTCTTTCACCTCTCTTCCCCCTCTCTTTCTCTTTCCCCCGCTTTCCCCCTTTTACCCCACCCCTTTTCCACTCTTTCTTCCTCTCTTTCCCCTCTCTTTCCCTCTCTTTCTCTGGAACTGTGGAACTAACAGTTGAGCCGGAAGACACCTGATACCACTTTTCATTATGAAATGCTTACACACTTATGCTTGATATACTTCCTCTCTACCAATGTTTCGCCAAAATGTTGTTTGGATTTCTGATTTTGTTTTGCAATTTGAATTGATAGCACTCGGTTTATTTTTTCGGAATTGTTCACCATTTCAATCATTATATATAAGATTGCTGTTAAAATATTTTCATCTTTGTTGACTGTTTTGATAGTTTTAGATGTTCTGCTTTTTTCCCTTTCTTTTCCTCTCTTTCCCTCTTTTCCCCTCTCTTTCCCTCTCTTTCACCTCTCTTTCACCCCTCTTTCCCTCTATTTCACCTCTCTTTCCCTCTCTTTCACCTCTCTTTCCCTCTCTTTCACCTCTCTTTCACCTCTCTTTCACCTCTCTTTCACCTCTTGTTTCTCTTGTTTCTCTTTCCCCTGTTTCCCCCCTTTTCCCCCTTTTCCCCTTTTCTCCTTTTTCCCCCTTTTCCTCACTTTTCCCCTCTTGTTTCCCCTCTTTCCCTCTTTTTCCATTTCTTTCCCTCTCTTACCCTAAGTTTCCCCCTCTTTCCCACTATTTCCCTGTTGTCCCCTCTCTCCCCCCTCTTTCCCCCTTTTCCCTCTCTTCCCCTCTCTTTTGCCTGTCTTTCCACTTTCTTTCCCTCTTTTTTGCCCCTTTTCCCTCTTTTTCCATCTCTTTTCCCCTCTTTTCCTCGCTTCCCCTCTTTTTCCCCACTTTCCATCTCTTACCCTCTCTTCCCTCTCTTCCCCCTCTTCCCTCTCTTCCCTCCTTTCCTCTCTTTTCCCCTCTTTCCCTCTTTTTCCCTCTCTTTCCCTATTTTTCTTTTGCTGCAATTTTTGACGACACCAACTAGTTGTTCGATAATTTTAAGATTGATATATTGATTCAATATTAATATTTCAATATTTATATTATATCTAGATTATTACCAGTTGTTCCCTAACCAATGTATCTGTTAAGACGGTAGAAATGTGTGGAGAAGAAACCAGATCGTCCGTAGTTATATCTAAAGTCATGTCGAAAAAAACAGAGCTACATTATAAAAACCGACATTGTATGTTATGTAATGGTGAAGACGAAGACGATATTGTTTATTGGTCCACAATAATTGGAACTAATAACCGTAAACAGAGACCTAGAAGTGGGCATGATGTAATGAAATTATTCCAGAATCCTATAATTGTTATCCCTCCCCCTAATTTACGAGAAATTGTATGTTACTCAAGTATGATATCGTCATGTGTACCTTCTGCGACCTTGGAAGAACAACGCCTGTGTGTAGAAAATGGACTATCGCCCATTAAATACCGAACGTCTATATACAAAAACACATTTTGTCTTCATTGTAATATTATATCAGAGCTAACTAACAAGTGTTACCCGGTGATAAAGGAAGATTTGTTTTATGGTGTACAAATTCAGTCTTATTCATTCTCTATGGTTCTCAATTGGCAGCAAAATAGAGAATCTTTTGTTTTACTTGACACTAAAATGACTTTTATTCAAAATGTATCTTGTTATTTTGATGACGATGACAATATAAAGGAATGTAAAGTAAGAAAATGTGTTGGTACTCTGCCAGTAGTCAATAATACCTGCAAGATAGTACCGAATCATTTTGGTTGTATTCAGTACATTTTCAAAATTAATTTCACTGTTCCTTCCCCATCATCCCTTGATATGAATCAAGAAGTAGAACGTATTTCCTTCGAACTCGTTCAGTTAACTGCCACTTTTGAACGTATGCATAACGTTACTAAATACTACAGTCAAAACGTAAGGTTGTATAATATAACGCTAGTTGAAGATCAGGTAACAGGTTGGATTATACTCAATAGAATGGCCTACTATTTGTGTTATTCCCATTTTACCTCTCTATCACCCAGTCTATATTTTGAGTATTTAGATGGTAATTTGGCTTTCAATCTAACTGGTAGCATTACTACAAAAAGATATGGTGTTAGGTGCTATGATTGGTGTAGTGACTCAGATGAACCAATAGTAACAGGTCTGAAGTACCAGCTTTTCTTTACAAGCAACACTGAAATTGTTCTCGATTCGACATCATCTGTTACCAAATTAACTCCACTATCTG